ATGTAATGTATGATACTTTAACAACCGTACTCTCATGCTTTCTTTCTTTTAGTAATAAACCTCTAGATTGTAGATTCTAAATGATTGGCTCAGCATGATCTTGTGGGTAAGGTCCAGACTGTAAATTGACCTGGAATCAGTGGCTGGTTTCTTGGAACTGGACAGAACTTGTTGAGGGTAGGTGAGATTGGGTTCCAAAATCCCTTACTTGGGGGCAGGCCCAGGGCTGTTTGGGGCATGGAGAGCACTGGAGTGTCGGAGGGGTTTTGCTCGTGAGGCTTCTGGCTGGTGAGGCAGTCAGCAGAAGTGCTCTGTGGGAGCTCGGGAGGCTTCTGGCTGGTGAGGCAGTCAGCAGAAGTGCTCTGTGGGACTGGTTTGTGGCCTATTTGGAAAGGGCCGCCAGTCAAGGGCTAGAGAGAGCCCTGCATTTGAGCAATTTGCCCTGAGCGGATGTCCTCTGCGGTGCCCAGACCCAGCCCAGTCTGTCACAAGGGGCTCTGCGAGGACACAATGGACCTGGTCACTGAAAACAGTTTTCAGGTCTGGAGGAGTTCCTGATAGAATTCCAGCAGTTCTGAGAGGTCTCACGGAAGACTCCTCGAGTGGATAAAAGAGAGCTGCCGGTCATATCGGAGCCCTCGGAGGCGGCAGAGGAAGACATGTGCCAAAGTGCTCCATGCCAGACTACTTGCACTACAGAGGAGTCTCTGCAGGGCCTGGAGGCGGAAGGTCCAGACCTGGCTGTGCATGCAGACCAGGCCCTCCCCCAGAAACAGAACCCAGGCAGAGACCCAGTACAGTCCTGGCCAAAAAAACTCCAGGGCCATCCTCTGGAATTTGGCCAGGACCTCCAGGGCCGGGCTCAGGGTGTTGGTCCTGTCCATGCTCTAGCACTGGCTCAGCTGATTTTAGCACCAGTACCCTCCTGTGAAGGGAGACACTGGAGCAGTCCTGTCTATCTCCACAGCCACTCACCCACCCTGGTTTCCAAACCTTGCCAGTTTTCCGGCGAAGAAGGATGAATGGCGGATAAATAAATGCTTAGATAGAGAAGCGAACCCGCGCTCCACCTGATGGCCTGAAGTGAGGGTGGGAGGGAGCCTGCCTACCACCTGTCCCTGACCACCAGACCAGAGCTCTTGACCCAGTTGACTTGGGCGGAGGGTAGGGCAGACATCTGGCAGATCCCAGCATCCATCACTCCAACAAAAGAGCAGACCAAAAATATTTCATTATATCAAAGAGTATGAACTTCCTTTTCACCCACCCTCCACCAAACTCCCTGGTATTCAATTCCATTAGACACAAATCCAGACAATCCAGTATGTCACCCACCCTCCACCAAACTCCCTGGTATTCAATTCCATTAGACACAAATCCAGACAATCCAGTATGAGATCAACACCACAGGACAAGGACCACAAAAAAATGGACATCCTGGGTTCTGGTAAAGTATACTCCTCAGCCACTCTGCTCCTCAGAGCACTAAATTATACCACCCAGCTAGCAGATTATGATTATTCCAACTACTCAAAACTCCAGGACCTGGTACAATACCTACCTGAACACAATATCATGCAGGAGGGCTACACAGTGTCTTCCATTGTGGACTGTAGTAGACACAGTTGCATGCGTCACAGCCTCCTGGTGGATTAGGTTCTCTCAGTCTGTAGTAGACACAGTTGCATGCGTCACAGTCTCCTGGTGGATTAGGTTCTCAGGGGGCGATAGGGTAGATCTTGGCTTGCCTTGACATTTAAAAAGTGATCTTGGGTATAAAAAGGTCGGAGACTACTGGTGTACTGTATTAGCTGTTTGAAAGTCTGTCTCTGCTGACAATTGTGTATTTCCAGTTCTAAATGATGTGAGTGATTGGTTAGTTTGTAACTCTGGTGTTCATAACGTTGAGATTCTTCTGTAGTTTACTTTTCCACAGCTTCTGTTTTTGAGTTCTCTCTGTGCCAGTTCACAGTACTTCCAAACAACAATGAAGTGAAACGTGATATATTACACTTGACTTTCATTTCTATTCATAGGGTTCTAAATAGCAGTAGGGAAACTGACCATAGTCTTTGATTCCACTGATGTTTAGTGGAAAGCTGTATGTAGCAGCATAGCCAAAGAAGCTATCTACCTGTAGACAAAGGTGAACATTGCTTCCTCTCACATTTTTGAAGAGCATCTTTGCAACCAGAAAGGCTAGAAATGGAGACCTTTTCAGTCCCACAGCTTTACAGGAGAAGCTTTGTACTTGTCACTGCCAAATAGGCCAGAGACTTTTTTTTTCAATCACTTGAAAACAAAATCCACTTTTCAGTGACATCACTGGATAGCTTCAACACTTAACTCCTATCCCTATGGCACAAATACTCAAGTACTTAAAACTACAGTTGGGACAACAGACCAAAACAATAGCAAATAAATGGTTGACTCAGATAAAAATCAGCAAGCTTGACTGCTACACAACCATCACGCTAGGATCTGATCTACATAGTCTTAACTTCTATTCTTTTGGAGGTTGACTGTTTCTCTAGCTCTACACATGAAGTTCAGTTAAATGTAGCTGAACTGATGCTGCCACCTGCTGTCAGTTACAAGTATTTTTCCCTACTGCAAGCCAAGCCTAACAGACTTCCTTAATAGCACAATGAACTATTCAATGCCAGCAGAGTCTCCAGCACACGGGGCTTGTCTACACCGGCACATTTTGTTGCCAAAAAAATCTTTTGGAAACAAAACAGTGAGAGCATTTACAGTGCAATTTGACTTTTGTTGGGAAAAACACCCAGTTTTGGTGACAAACTTCTAGCCATCCCTTTATTGTTGACAAAGAGCCAGTGTAGACTCTGCTGTTTCTTTTGTTGAGAGAACTGGCTTCCACTTGTACCCCTGATAGATTATGCTCAGTGTTTTGTGATCTCTGCTACCCTGAAGGAATGCACCCTCTCCCCCTTTCAAAGCTCTGAGAAGTATCTGACAGCTGAGTGAGCTGCTCCATTTGAGAAACAAATCATTGTAATGCTCATGTTCTTCCCTGATAGGAACATAGCAGCAGGCAGATGGCTGCTGTAGGAGGAGGGCTGGAGAGACTGCTATAATGCTTTGACATTCCTTAGCACAGGGAGCTCACAGAGCTATAAGGGGATCCCAAGAAGGGTAGAGGCTCCTATATTAAGCACCAGAGGTCTGAGGTTCAAGTCTGCCTGGTGGTGGTTACAAGTGGCATCTCAACCAGGTCTCTGAAACTCAGGATGCACTTCACCCAAGGAAAATATGTAACCTGCACACCTAGTAGGGTTTGCTATCCCATATAGTGGCACTTGGACCACAGCAACAGCTAAGACAAGAGACCTCAACACACCATAGGCTGAGAAGCAGTTGTAGCTTCTAGCTCAAAGGGTAGAGGCTCCTATACTATATTAAGCTCCAAAGATCCCAGGTTCACATCTGCCTAGTGGTAGTTATATACGGATCAGTTCTGCCTTCCCACAATACTTCACTGTGGGATGCTTACTCACATTGCTTTGGTCTGTCAATTAGGTGCTAGCAATGAGGCCATGAAACATCCACAATGGGAGGCAGAAAAACCAGTTTCACTGTTTCTGACTTTTGCATGTCAACAGCACTTTTGTTGCCAAACTTTCCCAGGGTAGACATAGACCAGTGTAACTGGAGCTGGTAACAGAGACCCAGAGCATGGTGCAACAGAGGCAGAGAACAAACGACTTGGCCATCAATGGGCCAGGAAAGAGACTGACAGGGAGAGACAGTCCAGACCCCAAGAGACTGAGAGACGGGTCATTAGCAATGCAGCTCTGCAAGGAGGATAACCCCAGGGCTGGGGGGCAGGCGAGCAGCGTGGCTGGCAGGGAGGGGCGGGGGTGCAGGCGTTGGGTACCAGGCAGAGGCTGGGGGTGGGGGAGGGGGGTCCCCC